AACTTACGCTCGTTATTTTCTACTTCTACAGAAATTGTTAGTATTAGCTGCATACTTTCTTCGGAATTCAGGGTAACTAGACTAGTTTCATCTTTGACACTTTGACTGGGCTGCGACGAAGTATTCAAAATATTCACTTCTTTCAATCGCTATCCCGTCACAACCATCGTCACTCGTGCTGACATTATCTTCCATAAAATTATGTTGACAGTGATTTTCAGCTGTAGTTTCTTTTGTACATTGACTTTCTTCTGCCTCTGCTAATTCTAACTTCTCAATACAAGTCTTCCACAATAAGTATGTTTCGTCATTACAACTTTGATTGTTCTTTCTTATTTCAGTAAATTCCTGTATTCTTCGTTTTTCAAGGAAGCAATCAAAGAATTTTTTGGTCGAAATAAAATCACTGTGCTTTAATGATACTCTTGTCTCCTCAATACCAACGTTACCCTTCATCTGCTGTCGACGAGTTGATATGCACCGGTCGTAATCAATAGCATCTGCATTGAATGGATATAATCCACATTTTCGAAAGCCATTTTTTATTGTATCAACACTTAGCCTATCAAAAGCTTTCTTAAACAACGGAGCAAAAGTTGCCTTCGTAAGCAATGCTTGAGTTTCTTGCTGGTAAAGTTCGACTACGTCTCTCCATTTGTACTTCATAGGTCTAAATATTGCAACGTCACAAGGTTGAATGATGTGGGTCGCATGAGGAAACAGTGAAACCAAAATAATATTATGCTCTGTGCAGAAGTCACTCAATTCTAAAGACAAATGAGATTTATGCCCATTCAGGAAATAAATAACAGGAAATTGCACGTTCTGTTTCACACACCAAGGATAGAAAACATTTGCTATATACTGATAAAAAGTACTTGATACCGTCCAGCCTGATTCTGAACGACCTATCGACCAATCAGCTGGGACGGATTTTGTCAAGTACGCTGGTATCCGCTTGTACGGAAACATTATCATTGGTGGTAGAGACGCACCTGCAGCAGAGAATGAACACAACACAGTCACTGTTTCTGTTTCTTTACCAGTTGATATTTCATGAAAATTTCTTTCTTTTCCTGGTCCCAATAGGCGCCCACTCTTAGGATAAAGTGGAATACTAGTTTCATCTCCATTAAAAATGCTTTCAGGTCTCTCCAAAACACTAATTGAATTAGTTTCTTCTAAATAACTTTTAACTCCACTAAACCATTCTCTTAACTTTTCCTCACTTACACACACATGACTTTTCAAGGCCAGTTCAGTCAGTTTTTCTTTTATTTCTGGATGTCTTTTCAAAAATAACTGCATCCACTTGTCTCCTGGTTTGTTATCTTTGAACATAGATTCTCGTCCAGCTTCATCCAAAATTTTCTTAACAGCAATCTTGACTTCATCTGAATGCATTGGAAAACCTAATCTAGCTTTATTAAGTATCCAGTTCTTTAGTCGATTTTCCTCTTCTTTTAATAAAATCGTTTTGGGGCCTCTCCTTGCACGCAATGGAATATTCTTCTTGATTTTGGCGAATAGTGTAGATCTAGGAACGTTCAATTCAGCAGCTACTTTCCTGAAGGACTCTCCATTCCTGCATTTTTCAAAAGCTTTCTCCAAATCACTGTCTGAATATTGATATAATTTGTACACTCGCCCTTTCTTTGACATCTAAATAACAAACAAGATTTATTTAAGTACATTAATAACGAACATTTTATCAATCTTTGAGATCAAGATAATATATAGACAAGCACATATTCGCAAAAAACTATGAGGCAAAGTGACTAAGTCTATTTATTGGTTTGAGGTTATGAATTCATAGCCGTTCGATAGACAGCGAATATACGAATGTCTTATATATTTCCGGAATAACTTTTAGCCGGATTAGTAGCTAATTATAATACAAACATAATGGCCTATTACTTACCTCTGTAATTAATAGCGTAACACCTGCTTTTTAACAAAAACTCTACAAGTCCGCTGCACTGGCTTTATTAGCGAGCACGTTTCGTGTGCATCGCAGCACCGTATTTTGCTTTCCTTTCGCGCGCGAAATTTTAAAGTTAAAACAATAACTTTTGCTGAGAATGAGAGTTGAAAATGTTTTTTTTTTTTACTATTACAAAAGACGTTTGATCGTTTTTGATTTGGACATTTATAATAATTGATTTATTGACGAAGTGTCTATTTACTGGTCAGTGTCTATTTATTGGATTGGTTATCCTACATACTTTACCAGTACATACCTTACCAGTGTGAAACTTTAAAAACATCGAATTGTTTTTTTGCATTTTTCGAAAATTTATGCCTTTAAAAATATCATACTGAAATTTCAAGGTCGATTTCAATTAGTTTTCGAGTGGCAGCATTCTAATA